GTCGATAACATTTTTATTAAAAAAACTCAATGACCATCTTACAGCAAACTCAATTACAACTCCAAAAAGCCCAACACAAAAGTGATCTACTAGGACAATTCAAGTTGACACAACATTCAATACGTGTCCGCTTAATGTGGCACTTTTTTGCTACGTGGCTTTTGACCAGAAGCCTCCACTGCCATCGATTCCTCAGCTACTGTCACCGGTGAGATCTCCTCCCTTAACCACCGCAAAGGTATATGATTTGATATTATGTCACCGGTGAGATCTCCTCTCGTTAATGGGTGAAGAAATATATATACATAGAGAAAATGCGAATATGTGGAAGGAGAATAATATATTTGATATTATGTTAGACGAGTAAAAGTTTTTGAAGAAAAACATCGTTAAAAATCACTTTATTTTTTTTTTAGAATAATCGCTTAATTTGATCAGAGATTATGCTCAGACTTGTCTCCTGTGACTTGATGACCAAGTCCAAATCTTCTTTATATGTTGATGATGCTCTAGACAAGAGTAGAAGAAAGAGAGAGAGAAAAAAGGTAGAGAAAATGTTTAAAAAAAATTCGAAATTGATCTTCGAGACATTTGTGAGCTCTGAAATATGTGTTTGTCATATCTCGATCAACGGTTTTGTTTGCGTTTTAAGAAATTTCTTTGATTCTTGCGTCTATATTTTGTGGCTCGAATGTAATAGATTAATATATTTTACCAAAAATATACATAGATTATCAATGCTTCTATGGAACATAAGCATGTGATCGAAGAGGGGCAAAGATTGTACAACTTTTTGTAAAGATCATGACTATTTTTTATAGTTTGTGTATCAAGAAATGTCTTTTGAGGTGCTAAGAAGAGGAATAGTCTCCAAGGTCACATTGGGATTGTCCATTGTGAGTTTTCGTAACTTTAAAGTCAAAGTTAGGTTTATTTTGATTTGTGTGTGTGTCTAACTCATATAATTGTTATTAGATTGATGTGTCGCACAATGAAAAGGATTATGCCCCTCCAAGCTATTTCATATTTGGAAGTTTGGTCTTCACAAACATGGATAATGAATCGGTGAAGATTTCTTAGATACCACCCAATTAAATAATCAAATGTATTTCAACAATGATACTAATTATGTGTTTTCAACAACATCAAGTTGAAATTACATTAGTAATCTCTAAATTGTTGCTTTTTTTCTTTCTAATGTGGTATCAAAACCTGAAACTGAACTCTTTTATTTATTTTTATTTTTTAAATTGATCACGATAAAACTTTAATAATGACATGAACCCGATTGTG